GCCCGGTCGCACCCAGCGTGCCCAGCGCCGCACCCGGGCACCAGCAGGCCCGGTGCGGGACCGAGCCCGGTCAGTCTGAGCCAGTGCCCGACCGCCCGGTTCAGCCCGAGCCGACGGTCCGGCCAGTCAGTGAACCAGCCAGTTGGACTGGCGGTTCGAGCCTATATTTTTGGTTCGTGAGTTCCGATTCGAGTTTTATTCCGGACTTTAAGTATTTTTTCGAGCCAAACCCGCCAGTTTAAGTACTTCATTTATAAATCCGGACTTAGTATATTTTTAAGAGAATCCTTAGCACAGTCTATTTCATCCGGTAAATGAGCATATAGAATCGAGCATATAGCATATAAATCGGAGCATAATACTTAGCATTATTTTGCTGGTATGTTTATGTAACCTAAGGAGAGTCGAGCCTCCGACCGCTACTTCAGTCCAGCACTTGCGTCAGATACTTTTCAGTTTACCAGGTGGGGTGTCATGTACTGGATTCTACATCATTTATAACATCTGTATCATGACTAAGGTATGTTTGAGATATTAAGTTCTCCCAGGTGAGAGGCCCACGGTGAGCGGGCCGAGGCCTTCCTAATCTACCTGGTATCCGGCTGGGGCTTCGGCCTCAGTGTCTAGATGGTGTGCACACGAGCGGCAAGTGGCCGAGAGTCGATGGGCTAGAGATTAAGAAAAGATTGAGAAAAGAAAAGAAAAGAAAAGAAAAGAAAAGCAAGAAAAGAAAAGAAAGATTAAGAGCTCTTATATATTGATGTTCATGATATGTTATTATTTATGCGGTTTGATTCAGTACCGGTCTTTGCGGAGCATAGTGGTTTGCTCACGCCCACATTATGTTTTTCATGTGACGGAGTCGAGCGGGCGGGGTGAGCAAGTGTGGCAAGTTGTGGTCATGAGTCGAGGACATTTTTACCACCATTTTATGTCCCATTATTCATGAACCAGTTTATGTATTAAGTTGTATGATTGTATTTGATATTTTATGCTTCCGTTAAATTATTAGTGCGAGACAGACGGACTGCATGTATAATTCCTATCGCTGTAGTGGCCCCATTGGTTGCATGTTTTAATTACGTCCGAAAGATTAAGTTAAGAAGTTTTCGTAGCATCCCGCAATTAAAAAAGAAATTTCGAAAATAAACTCGCACGATATTTCAAAAATAAAAGCAAAAAATTAACTCTGATTTTCAAAAGTCAAAGCTACTCATGGCAGGGTGTTACACCCGGGCACCGCCTAGGCCGAATTTTAGAACAGTGATTAGAACATCTGTATACTTAATACATTTCTAATGGAAATACAATTTATTATCCTAATAATAAAGGATTTTAAAGATAATTTTAATAATTAAATATCTTAATCCAGTAGCATAGGAAAATTAATTTACGTTATTTTTTTTATACTTATGCTGGTTTTGCTTGAAAGAATGGGGAACAATTTGAAAGTAGTAGATAAATGTGATGTCGATATAATTATTTGTGTTGTTTTGAGACAAGAAAAGAAAAAATAAAATAATTAATGAGAAAATTTTTCGAATATCTTACTAGCAAATAGAAAAAATAAGAGCTTTCTTATAACTTTTTATTGCTATATTAGACAGGTTGGAATTAAAACATATGTGATGTAAATAGCTTATATATCTACTTTATCTATACTATATACTATTATAAGACTAGTAGTTTTATGAAAACTATGTGGACTAAAATGTTCTTATTAGTAACTAGTATATGTATACATGTTTGTATTTATCTGAAATAGTAACTAAAATCTTGTCAAAAAATTTCAATTTACCTTTATTAGTAACCTTTTTTTATATATTTTTGAAAAGTGGCGTCAAAACATTTTAAATTCAAATTAAGAAAAATAAATGTAATTAATGTACAGAATCAATTTGGTCAAATATTGCTGCTATTACTTGAATTAGTTGTATAGTTTAAATTTGGTACATAAAATATTGACAAAACTCGCGGCATTACATTTACTAGTTGCATAGTTTAAATTTAGTATATAATATATTGACAAGAAAAATTATTTAAAATTAAAAATTAAATAACCAATTATTTATAACTTATGGGTCAATATTAACTTGGACATAAATAGAATAGTCAATTATTTATATTTAATAAATTACTCAACTACTTAAATTTTTTGATTTAGATAGTTTAAAAAAAAATAAATTCATTTTAACTAATGAAACAATATAAGTTTTATATTTATACGTATTATTCACATAGGCTTTTAAATATATGATAAAATTTTGCCAAAATAATTATTTTATGGAATCACATTATAGTCAAATCGAATTTCTGAATAGAAATTTTGAAATGACACTTATCTTGAGACAAATATAATGTAATTTATTATCGGTGCACCGAATGGGTTATGTACTAATTTTAAATAGATATTTTTATGTAATTTTTTCACAATTTAAATTTTATATAAAATTTTTAATAAATTAATATATGTAAATTGTATTACAATTGAATCTATTTTTTTAGTTTATAAATATTATTCAATGAGAATTTTTAATTTATAAACATTAATGAATATCTCTTACTCGTGCATTGCACGGGATTTGTACTAGTGTATATAAAGACAATAATCATTTACTAAAAGTAGTAGCAAAAAAATCTGGGAGCATTTAACGCATACCTTATTTGGAAACTTCTTAAATATATATATTAATTGTTTTCAAATACACATTTCCAAATCAGATATGATCAAAGAGATTATTTCCTTGAATAATTTTAGTAACATCTACAATAAAACTAGTGATATCCATTATAATATTTTGGTCAACATAAACAAGAAAAAAAATTTTAAGTCTTAACCATATTATTTTTTTTTCCACAAATGTTGACTTTCATCATAAAATATTTATAAACAATCGTAACATGTTAAATAATTTTCTCCTTCTAACTAACTAGGAGAAATCAAGTTGGTGAATTAATATTTTTTAATTTTTATTTAATTATATAAAAACAAATAAAATTTTTAAATTAAAATAATTTACCATTTAAGAGATAATGAACACATGATTAAATAATTTACTAATGGCTAGATAATAAAATTAAAATATATTAAGTAGTCCTTACAATTTCAACATGTGATTTATTTGTATATTATTGTCAACCATGATAACATTATCATTTTTTATTTTTAACTGTTTCCATAATTAATTTATAGTAAAATATAAATTTATATTGCATAGTATGTTAAACAAACTAATAAAGCCTTGAGATGAAAATTTGAAAAATCTTTTGATTATGTAAGGGTTTATTATTTGGAAAGTTGCTAAATCATTTTTCTTAATTATTTTGAAAAAATTAAATTTTAAAAAATATGAGTGTGTATTTTGTAAACATTTATACACAAAATTTTATTTTAAATTTCATTGTATAAACTAAGAAGAAGAAGACTACTTATATAACTTTTATAAATAATAATAATGACATTATATGACAACAATTATTATAAAGAAATTATAATTGAGTATTATATGGAGAACAAGATTAAATAAAATTATTATTTTTTTCTTATATTGATGAATAAATATATATTGTCTATGTTTGGACAACAACGTTTTCCACAAAAAATTAGCTTTTTGTACATTTTAGCTTATTTGACTTTTGGAATCCGTTAAAAATGATGTTTGGTTAATAGCTTTCGTTTGCAGCTTTTTTGCTCAAAAAGCTAAAATTCAAAACGCAACATATTGGAGCNTTCCAAATTCTGTCAAACTAAAACTGAAATTAGTTTAATAATCGAAAAAAAAAATCAACTGTATGGTATAAGAACAAGTCAGATGTGTTGCCGAAAA